GTATACTTAAATATATATGTATATAGTTTTTAAATTATATATTAAATTATATACTTATTTAATAGAAAAATTCATCTAACATCTTTTATTTAACATCTTTTTCTTGGTCTAAAATTACTCTAAAAAGGAATATAAAACATGCTATTATTTTTCTTAATTGCACATTATAATATAAACTGTAGGTTTATTTTTAAAAATCAGCAAGAATTCTCACCTTCACCCACGTCATTGATATTATCTGGAAGTTTTTGTCGGGCTTTCCTGTTAGATTGCGTTTGATTCTTGCTATTTGGTGATGAAGTATCGGCCGGCTCATTGGTTTTACACTTGGAGATGTCACCTTCATTGCTAGCACACTCGATTGTACCCGAAGCTTTCAATAGGTGTTTTCTATTCACGGGTTCACAAGAATAAATGGCGATGAAACCGCCTAATACCAGAACCGCGAAGAGTCGCCAAAGCATGTTCGATCAGAACTGACGCTTTGTGAAGATCGTCATATTTATAGGCTCTAGCAATTAGTAATAATGGCGGAGTAAAGTGGTGTTACGACATACAGAGCGTGAATGCATCTATGATAAAATGCATCATGCGCATAAAATTATTTCAACCGGTGCTGTAGAACCGTACGTTTCTGCACGCACATAGTGGCGTATCCAATATACGTATAGGATATACATCTAGTATACATATAGTACTTGCCACATTGTTAAATGGAGTGCATGAAGCGCAGTGAGAAGATAAATCTCAGCGGTGCGTATCATTATTTCGACCTATCAGAAATACAGAATAATGTATTTGTGGAAGTACGTGATGCAAGTTGACTCGCATATTCGAATTTACGCTCAGTAAGATAGATAGCTAGATAAAGAACGAGATAAGTGAGAAAAGTAGTAAGGGGAGGATGAAAGAGATGAAATTTCAAATTTATCGAAATCGAAGATCAAGCATCAACGAATATGTTGGTCGTACAGTTATTTCTATATAAGCTCTTGATACAATTTTGACGTACTTGTACTGTTACGGACCCATAATTTACGAGAAAGGTAATTTATTTAATATCAAATAGACCGATAATAGAAACGTTGTTGAAGAAAGTAGAAAGTGATGTAAAACATATAATTAATTTTTATGTTAGCCCTAACTAATGTTTTATTTATCTTACATATACCTACACATTTTCTATTTTTTCAGTTTAGTCGTTTAGTTTAATTCAAAATATTAATTGTTTCTATTATATGTCATTTGACATTAATGATTATATAATGCATACTATTATGAATTTGGAGATTTTTCTCCAATATAACAAATGAAACTCAATTAAGTTTCCTATTGTCAAATATATAATGATTTGTGAATATATATTATTTGTCAAATTCTTCCACAGTAGAGTCCTATATTATAAGAGATGCGCAAATAGGATTTGCTTGCTGATCGAGCTCGCAGCTGATCATTTGTAACAAAGCAGCTGTATGTACTGGAGATCCTGTCAGATTCTAAAGGTTAGGTTGAAGGTTCTTCCGGAGAAAGATGTTAAAAGTTTTGTTTCTGACGAAATTTGATCAATCAGAAATATTTTTATTCTAATTTTAACATTACAAACAATGTTAAATAGGAGAGTATCAAAGTTGCGGGGTTAGTTTGCACAAAGGATCAGTACAAAGAATCAGCTACAGGTCCGATATTCTCAATTTTGATTGATGGCCGCTATCAGCCAATTAACAAGCGAAACCCATTTACCCATTTCATTACTCTTATAATATAGGACTCTATTTTACAGTATTTTAATGTGAAGTAAATTATCATCATCACCTTATGTTTTATGTATTATTTTCAACTACACACATCGTGGTACATAAAGTGACAGTAAAAATTGTTATATTACAGAGTGGAAGAACTACTCTGATTTTATTATGCACCACAGCTGTTATTTAAAAGTTATTAAAATGAATGCGTGAACTGAATTAAGATGATAAGTAGATTGTCAAGTGAATGAAAAAACTTTCTTTTCACTTGTTACAGCTCCCACGATCCTCGCGCGCCAGAAAGTGGAGAATAAGGCTTAAAAAGCATGATCTTTTTCTTCGACGAGTGTTTTGTATGCCACTGGGCCAATCGAGCATCCTCGATTTACTACTCAAAGTATGCAGGGTTACAGCCTCTGAAGGTTACCAGCTATACGTATCCTAACATGGCACGAAGAATGCAGTTCCTGCACTTTAGTGTCTAATAATAGACGTCTGAAGTTCCTTGTATATCCCCGGCGTTAATGTAAGGTATAATTCAAAGAGCCATTATTCTTTCTAAAATATTTTGCAATCTTGTTTTATAGATCTTGTTATGTCTGCTATGTAAATTTGATATTTCTGCGTACAGTTTTTCTTTGGTTCGATTATACTCATCACGAGTAACTACGCTCGATTATTTGAACGATTTTTTACCGACATGCCGCTTCAGCGTTTTAAATCAATTCTGATAGGGATATTCTCTTTGGGATATAAACTTTTTGATTTTACTATTATATCATACTAAATTTAATGCTTTTGCGAACAAACATGATCCGATAATGAGCTAAATCAGAGCTAAATCACCCTCCGCAGGCGAATTGGCAGAACCACCTGTTGTCGATCGTTGACCTGAATCTAATAACAGACAGAAACGTCCTATTCTTGTCTAAAATATCTCTCGAGGAAATCGCTCATGACGATTTAACCTATTGCCTCACTTTTATTATTCCGGAAACCTGTGTGTTCCGCACAATAACTAACGTTTCGTATGAAGCTTTTACTACGCAAGGCTTTTCTAAATTATCTACTTTTCCCATACTTCATAATTTGGTTTTAAATCATAAAGTCCAATGGTAAATGGGTAGCCTATTTTAATTTTAATTTTCAATTTTCTTCACAAAGAATAGTATTATGGTGACCCAATGACGCCTTGGCAAGTATTCTTTTGGCAAACTTCCGCGAATTAGACGTTGAGGGATGAATGGGATAATTCATGAGGCATCATTAAGATAAATGTCTCGGCTGAAACGTCCTACTTTTCTACTTTTGCGAACAATCGAAAGTCCGCCGCTTTTGTGACTTGGGACCTGAGCGGTATCAGATAACAAATAATTGAGCCCGACCGCACTGTGCGTAGGCTCATCGCAGCGAAATCCATTTCTCGCACCGTTCGTGAGAATATAACTGCACGCTCAGAATGTGGCACGGGCCTTAATACAGTTAAACACCGTCTGTGTAGGCTCGTGGCACTGACTATGGGATAATCGTGAAGTAGGTAACAGTATGGAGGATGCATCGTTGGCTGTTGTCGCATTAGAGATGCGCTAACCTCGATCGAGTGTGTCGAGGATGCGCCATGCGCTCAGCTTCACGCTCTTAACAAACCGTGGTACAAGAAGAAAACAGAATACATTGGGCCAGATAATTTCATGCTGTGGGTCTGCACACGTCATTAATCTTTTCGAGGCTAAGTGCTACAATTTCGTACACGAAAGGTGTGGATTTTTTTTTATCTTACACGTGCAGTCCATGGCGATTCTTTAAAAGAAACAAAAGACGTTTGTTTCAAAATCATAATAATAATTATTTTATAAAAAATGTAGCTGTCGTTGAATTCTAAAATCTTGCTTTGTTTTAACCGCATAAAAAGGTTATTTATCTAACTTTTAGTAGTAACAAATAGGTACAAAAACATCTAGTAATGAATGCATTATCAGTATACGGAGTGCTTATGTGTGTCAAAACATTGCTACTAATTGAGTAAATTAGCCAATTATACGCCATAAGGTTGAGAATTCCACATTCATAATGTTCATTCATCCACTGGTGATCTCTATTTCATGGCTATCACACCAAAAATGAACGACAGCTGGTTTATTTATGACGTGTATTGGGGGATGCAACGTGTACGTAATCAAAACGCAATTTGTGCAAGAATGAGGCGCTATGCAGTTATAAGTTGTACTATTGCGCAATAAAGCAGTATCGCATTATGTAATTACAAAGCGCGTTACTGTTTTGTTCGTCTCGCTTTATGTATTTCAGTGTCAATAAATCTGGAACAAAATGAAATTTCTTCTTCAACGTCATATCTTGTTGAAAGAATAGAGATAGTAAAGATATAATTTCAGATATATATTTTACATTCTTCATATATTAATGTGATTTGTATTTATTAATTTACATCCAGATCAACTATGAAAAAAAGATTTAAAAAATGAGAAACGGTTCGCGACGATTGTCGTTATACAAATACAAAACATTATCCACTATCTATACGGAACACAACATGATGAGAATGATATACCAAAATGCAGGGAAAGTAGATCATCCGTGTCGATAATCCTCGCTCATTCCACGCCGCAGGAAAATCGTACGATAGGAAGGTCACGGGCTGTCCGTAACCTGGAACCAGTTTCTAGCATCCTCACGTTATGCTAGGGGTCAGCGAGATCACGGTGATGAGAAACTCTGCCAATGCAGTCCACGGCGCTCCCCTCTGGTCTCATCTCAACACAGGCTTCGCCTCTCCTCCCGCGTAAGTTGCGAATCATGATGAGACCGCACACTAACATAACGCGGAAGATGCACACATAGTACTTTCAAGTACATAAACGCTACAGCGAAATTTAATGAACGAATCGCGTGGTAGCGAATCGCGTTGAACAGCAGTGTCTCGATCTCGAGACGCGAGTGGGTCTCTGTGTCAGGAAGGGTCACATGCTCTTGGCGCGCTACCACTATGAGAATTTTTACCTCGGCCCCGTCCCGCCGCGATGGCAGCTGTCTAGCGAGCTGAAAGAGAAAGAGAAAGATGCAAGGACGAGAGGGGTTCGCAATGAGGAGAAGAAAGAAGAGGATTATCCACTCATACAAGTGAGGTTGTGTCGTCACCGGCATATCCGTCCGTTTATACGAGAGAGATACCTCATCCCCTTCGTGAAGGATGGTATCTAGGAGGATGCAGCTCGCTGGTATATATCTGCTCGGAGACTTCGTCCTGATGCCAGTTCTCTCTAGTCGAGGATCACCTAGCTCGTGAGTGCGCGCAACTATTCGTATATCCGACTAGTCACTTCGAATTTCGAGTCGCGTGTCTCTCGCGTGATTTCGAGGATACGAGGTGTCTGTGATTTAATCTCAAATTCTTCACCCAAGCATTCGCGAGTTGGAAAGTCATCCGAGTCCAACATGTCGGCGATTAAGATTATATCAAAGTGCGTGCTGCTGTTGTTAGTCTGCAGTGCAATTCATGCCAATGAGGACGGCGGATTCCTTGAACGAGGATACCGTGCTCTTTATCGTGTCTACGAAGAGTGCGAGCATCGCAATATGGCTGTGTCACCGTGTTTGAAGAAGAAGGCGATTGCCTTCTTCGAGAGACTCGGTCGTATACAGACTTTACCGATCAGCGATAATCTCGAGCTGATCAAAGTCGCTTCTGCGACGGATGATAGCTCGAAAAACACGGTTTCCGATCTGGAGAAGACTTTGGCTAGAGCTAACGGAGGGGCCATGGACGAAATGCTCAACGATATTCTGTTCGAGCGCGTAGCCGCGTTAATGAACAGTTTCAATGTGCAGATCAGCTTACCAAAGACAAGTTCTGGAGAATTGAAACGAAGTATTGAGGAAGGTCGTGGAAAAATGAAGAAAATGATGGGCATGATGATGATGGGAATGGCGATGAAACTCGCTGCGTTAGTTCCCATTGCTATGGGTGTGCTTTTCCTGCTGGCAGGAAAAGCTCTGATCATCAGCAAGATCGCTTTAGTTCTGTCGCTGATCATCGGCTTGAAGAAATTACTAAGCCAAAAGCAGGGTCACGATCATGGCGGCTGGCAGCAAGGCGGAGGTGGATGGGACAGAAGTCTGAAGGGAGTCGTAGACGCACCTGTACCATCAATGACGGAAGCCGATCGCGAATACGCTCAGACTTTAGCTTACAACGCGCGGCAGAATCATTAAACAATCCGCAGCAGGAAGAAACAATGGGAAATCTTCAGGTATTGGGAGGAAGCAACGCCTGTTTCCAAAGGAGCAGATAATATGCGATTTCAGAGACAGTTCGGAACATCGAAATAGATTCGCTTATTTATGTTTTAAAATAAATTTTATCATTAATAAAACGTCGCATTTATGCGTACTGCATAGATTATGATAAAAAGAAGAGAGTATAAAGATGGAATATATCAGTGATATTAATGTTAAAATAAGAAAAAAAATATGAACGAAAATATAGCAGATGCAAAAATTAAAAAAAAAATTAAAAATAGGAAAAAAGATTCAAATGGGCGAGCTGTCTTATTTGTGTAAATTTTTAAGTCTGATCGCTTTTTGAGTCTTCATCGCTTTTTGAATGATTATCGATATGATAATAATTGCATCGTAATTCCTTCTAAATTAATTATAAATGACGTAAATATTTAATGCGATAATACAATATATAATGCGATTGTTTTATTATTATATACACTTGGAGCGAAAAAGAAGTTACTGCAAAGAAGCTATTTAGACAATTTTCTGTAAAGCGAGAAAAAATGCGCAAGCTATAAAAATGCATAGCTGGAATGTAAATAACTGTCAAAAAATGTAAAATAAAAAAGTGGTAACGACAAGTATTTGCATTTCAACTGTCAATTGCCCCAGTAAACAATCTAACAAAATGTGATAGCGAGAGAGTAATATTCACGGAAAAATTCTAATGGTGCCTGTTTGAAGTTTATGTCGACAATCAAAACGCGATCAATCTCGAGGTTAAATGAAAAGATGACAGACTTCAGTCTTTGATTAGCCGAATTTGCAGTCGTTTCTCAGTACACTTGCGATATTTATATTTATTTATTTAGTACCTCACCAAGGTAGGCAGAAAGTACATATTTATTTTAGATTTATAAAATAACCTTAGAGAGAGTTTGGAATGTGTAGCTTGCGACAAGTACTTACATGAGTATCTGTATCAATATTTACGTTACTAAAATCTTGTGTTCAGTAGAGTAAGCGTAATGATTAAAATACTTGAGTGTTAAAATGTAGCGAATAAGAAATACTAATTCCATCATCTGTCAACATTTATTATAATGCTTAATTTATATAAATATATTACATTTTAAGAAACGTAACATTTATTTCGTAATGATCGTAATACATGCGAATTATTTCGCGTAATGTTTTTCATTTGTAGCGTCTAAAAAATAATTTAATGTGTTTACAAGTATACACTTGACGCGACGCATTTTCTATGAAATGTATACGAAATGTATACGTTTGACTCAGAGAAGCGATTATAAATTCGGCTTAAGTGTTTTTTTTTTACTTTGTGCACACAGGCGTTTAATACTTTCTCAAAGATAACGGCGATACAAGTCTAATCTGATTGTAAATTATTACGAAATAAAGTCATATGTCATTCTCACTTCTTAATATATTCTTGATGCGCTCCTTCTAAAGATCCTAATTTCGCTGTCAGTGTACCTTCAGTCCGAGAACGGCAGCAAATAAAGCGAAGAAGAATCCCGCAAGCAGCGTCGTTCCTTTGAGAAGAATCAAACCTCCAAGTATCGTTGGTATCAGAGCGACAAATTTGAGTTTATACGCCATCAGCAACGCCAACATAGTACGGCCAACCTTTCGTTTCTTACGCCGTGCGTCATCTGAAAATTATCACGAACAATATGATTAAAATCTTGAACATATTTTCGATGATTTAAACTTGAAATTTAAACGGAAATATCGAATTATTTAACACTGTTAATGTTTATAAATAATATGATTCTAAATATGAAAATGATTTCACTTATGTTACAAGATCACATAATCAACATACAAGGAATACAATACCGATTATTAATATGATTTTATTAAAAACTCTATATAATATATATATAGTATTTGGAAAATTTATTACAATTGAGAAATTAACATTAAACTCATTGATATACTATTTGTTAGCATTTTAGTGTAAAATTTTAAATTACCGACATAAATGTTCGATATATCCTATTTCAATAATGAAAACCATTATAACATTAGAGAAAACCGTTACAACGGTACCGTTAATCATACTTCATCAGAACGACAATTCAAACATAACATTTGCTGCAATCTTTTTACATCAGTGTTTTATAGCGCTTGCATTACAAGATAAAAGCATTTCTGTCATTAAGCGTTATAAAGCTGCTTTTGATTTACCTCGTTCCTCCACTTCAATCTTAGAACGTGCATTATAGAAGTCTTCATCAATTGAACGATGGACCTTGGCTACCTTATCTCTGGCGTTGCGACCATTGATCGAAGAAGTAGGATTCTCGAAGGTGACATTATCACTCGTATACCTAAGGATCTTCTCGCCGGAAGTGACGGTTCTTTCTTCTTTCTGCCATTTCTCTAGTGTCGATTTCGAATGCTCGCTCGCGCGACTGACGCAATTCAAGGTCAGCAAAACCGCGACCAGATTAACTCTCAATAGCATCATTTCTCGTATTCATGAAGAATGAGCTCTCTCGCTGGAAATCCACTGATGATATTTGTACGCGGTTTCGTCTACAATCTCACTCTTTCGCCTATCTCACTTTATTTCATTGTCAAGACGTCATCGCGCACTGATTGATTTTTTTTAGATCAGGGAGTACCCGACGAACGTTTTCTCGAATAGCAGAAACATCCGAATGGATGACGAAGCGAGCACTGTCTTTTTCTAGGATCGACGATGAGTCACGAAAGATGAGCGATACGGTTGTCACGACATGCCTCTTCCGTTGCTCGTGTCCGCCTTTGGTTACGCTCGTTCTGTTCCGTAAGCAGGATTTTAAAGTTGGATCTATGGAAACGACATATAGAGAGAGAGAGAGAGAGAGGAAGTCAACTAGGTATGGACAATATAGAAAGAAGGAATGAACGGTGCAACGAACAACCGCGAACTAACTGATCCGCCGTTGATCCACTGTTCGACGACAAACTGACCGGACGCAGTGGATACCACGCCAAGCACGCTTCAGTTGCCGGGAAAATCGGCAGTCCGTGTAAAATGAGCTCCGACCGGTGAGCGATATATACGCTTGCGGTAAACACTATGATCCAAATTGTCAGTACCGATATATGTGTCACGTTATATCGCAGAACGGTATATACGATGCATAGACGTGGTCATACTAGATAAGAAGATAGAAACCTTCTGCGGGTGTTTTCGTCGCGTAAGAGAAAGGGAGTGGAGGCCGTCGCGCGAATGAATGCATTATAACGCCCCTATAGGGGCGGAAATCGTTTTGCAGAACACGATGTATTGACGTCGTTTTGCAATAAACGCGATTTTTTTTAAGTTACGCCACGCAAATATCCGGGCCAAAAAGAATTCGATGGTCTTCACGTTGGAAACGTTTCGTGTCTCGAGTCGTCGTGTAAGATCGTAGCGTGATTTGATTTACCTCTGATGTTCTTATTTCAAGGAAAGTCAGCTTATAAATGTTTGATCTAATTTTCAAATCTCTACAATCAAATGCTCATATGTACTTTTATATCTTTCAGTGATTTTTTTATTCTCTTATACTAAATAATTCTAAGATATTTTACATTTACAAATTAACATACTATGTTGTGTCCGATAATCTTATCTGATTGTGATTATTTGCGTGAACAATTTCCAATATTTTAACAGCGTTTCTTTATGCAGAAGCTTATTTTAAAATTAATTGAAGGATATATATTTATTTGATATCCATATTCACTGTTAAATAATCTTATTTATAAGTTAAAATAATATAAATAACTATTATTTTTAGTTTAGTCTCTATACTTGTGATTGAAATAATATCCGCTAGATATCCGGAAAAAGTTGTGTCACTGTTTCACTTCACTCGTTTTTCAATTCTGTTACGCCACTTTTAGATTATCGATTGCCTTTCTTGTCAGAGTATCATCCCACACTCGTAACAGAGCATCACAAACTGCACTACATTTTACAATCTGCTGCATATTTATCTGAGCTATCTGAGGTATCTGAACCACTCGAAGCACGTGGTTCCGCTTAAGTGCACAATAGAATATTGCACATTGCTCTAACCACGACGTAAATGAGCATCTTATTGAGCATTCTGCCCGTAGGATAAGAAATTAGAAATCTGCGTGTATACACGTTATAGAAATCTACATGAAAAGATTGACCGAACGTAGATGATCTTGATAGGATCTTTTTTTTTAGTTACGCCCGGCAAACATGCGGGTTGCTAATAATCCGGTAGCTTTAAATGATCCTTACAACCTGATAATATTTTCTTCTCGTTGCGTTTAATGTATTAATTTGCGTATGTAGGTATATGGGTCCAAAAATACTTATACACATTATGCTCTTATGGTTACTTTTCATTTATCTTAAAATCAATTTGATAAGGACATTACAATATTTTAACATAATGAGAACATGGGTGTTGCTTAACTGATTTAATATAGGTTTTATTACTTTTGTATTTTTTCAATAGAATTTAAAGTGATAGAGAGATGTTTCCCTATGAAGCTATACATTATTGAAATTCAAATAAAACGGAGATTGTGTTATTGCATCATTTACCGAATAAGAAAGTGATGTGATAAAGTGTACGCGAGATTGACAATTTATATAATAGAATGAATTTATATTACTTAGCACCTACAGAGTAGACAGTTATTAATGTGTTTAATATTCATCAAATTGCGGAAAAATGTAGTGAAATCATAACAATTTGCATAATTAACACGAGACATTTGAAACATGTATCGGATGCTCGCGTACGAGATTGATGAAACAAAGCATTAGATATAGCGTGAAATGTTTTCATTTTATTAAATGATTAATGGTCTGACTGTTTCCAGCAATTATCGGGTTCTTATCTGCTCTGAAAATCACGAGTCACATGCACCACATTAAATAAAGTGGTACTTAACAATCATTATCACATATGTATGTACTCTCTCCTTGACTTTCTTCATTCTCGGATATTACATCGAGGCAGTTTCACAAGTAATAAACCTGTATATTTACTAACGCAGGTAACTTGCACGCACTGATTACGCACTCGTAGCAAAATTGTTTTTTTGGATACGTTGTTTCTAATTTGCGTCGCTAATAAAAGACATTGCCTGTGTATTATAATGTTTGTCGCTATTGAAATTATCAGACTGGTTATTTAAAGATAGATTATGATAGAGCATTAGTCGAGTTCCTCGTGTATGAAGCCGACAACCTACATATCGGTACAGTAGTTTTATTCATATGCCTCCTAAGTATATTACTTCAGATTTTTGGAAAGAGGAAATAAAGAATAATTTGCTGTTTTTTTTTTAAGATCTTGTAGCCTAAATAATAATGATCGTTAGGAGGAAGATATCAAAAGACGAAATGATGAAATGATAAATGTTAGTTCTGTTATTGTAATGGTTTTTGATTATGCATATTGTCTCATTACTGTTTATTTTTTATATTTATTACAATCTATGATAAATTCTTATATAACACCATGTGATAAAAATAATTCTTTTCGCACATGAAAAAATTAAAGTTTTCGTGAAAGTGAAGACGAAATCCATTGGATTATATTTCATTTTACAATATCAAGTTAATGTTTTATGCACATTTAAAGAAGGTCATTTCGGCCGCGGTGCAAGATGAAATTTTGTGATTGTTAAAAATCATTTTTATGTAAAATTGATTGCTAAATCAGAAAATAATAAAATTAAAGTGATTGAAATAGAAAAAAAATGAAAAATGCATTTTTTGTCGAAAATCGCTAAAAATGATTAATTTTTTTCTTAAAAAGCTGTAGTTATCATACCTTTTTCATTAATATTCACAAAGTTAATTATAGAAAAGCCGAAAAAAGAAAGATTTGAGCCATTTTCGACTAAAAATTTATTTTTTAAATCATTTTGCACTACTCCAATTTATCTATTCCAATTTAATTTTATCATGTTTTGATTCAGCTTTCACTAATTTTACATGATTTTACAGAAATACATTATTTTCAGATAATCGCAAAATATGATATTATTATGTTATGATTAATTGTGATTATTAAGAATATTTAGTCAATTAACAATTGTTACGTTGAAATATTAGAAATTAAATTGTCTTCAGAATAAATAAAAAAAATTTCGGTCACTATTATATGATTACTGTACTAACTTTACAAGCATAATGTATATAATTTGTGAGCTTACTCACATGGAACTATTATTACTGTTATTACTATTGCTAGCCATAGTCCTAATTTTAACAAATAACAGGCGCTCACGAAAGAGGAGTCTATCATTAACGATATAATAACTTTGCATGTGTAAAAAATAAATTAGGCTAATAATGTTAACCTACGTAAGTATACATAACGGTACGAAATAATAAAAGATACTAAGCTATAAGTTAAAACACGCATGGAAGTTTTAAAAAACTGCTTTCTGAATAAAAAGTTATGTTTGTGTATTAAAAAAAATGTACTTGATGATAATTTATAACAATGTTTCTTTCGTATGTGACTAAAATTATTTTCAGAAAAATATTGTAATTTATTAAAAATTTATTAAAAAAAGATTGTGATATGACGTTCGTATTTAAATCAATATAAAAATGTTGCTCTTTACCGGTTTTTGCGACGGTTATCCATCGTACTCAAGCGTGTAACATCATTTTTTTCTGATGTTGATAGAAAATACTTCACTTAATGATGAGCATAAATATAAATCTTTTTTATAGTCTTTACCTATTAATTGAAAAGTTGGTTTCTAAAGACACGTACACTTTCTTCTGTGATTAATGATTAATAACCAATTTTATACGCTTTACGGTAAAGAAATGATATTATTCACTAATACAATTTGTCAAAATTTTTTAATATTAATTGATTATTAATTATATTTTATTATACTCTTTAACTTCTTTATAGTATAATACAATATTGGTAGAAAATTTTATCATTAAAAAATTATAGCTGGTTTCAATTTAATTAGATATCGAATTATTATCGGTACAATAATCGGAACGCTACTTATCCTCTTTAATTATAGATCCGTTTATAGAATGAAATGGTTTAATTTGAATTATTTCTAGTTTACTTTTTTCAGTATAAGCTGGCCATAGATCGTGGCAGTCTTCGTGCCACAACTATTCGAGTGTAAAACGAACTTAATTGATAATAGATGCTGTATATTCTCATGACAAAAGACAATAATAGTGAAGACATTTGATGGAGAGAACGATCTACTTACCCCGGTCGAAATATTCCGTGGAAGATTCTTCATTCTCAAGAGTGATTGACGCGAACAGCGTCCAATGATCGAGGTAGACTAGCTCAAGAGGTACGGGAGTGGACGTTGGATCCTTCGTCACGCATCAGTATCAAGTTAGATGACTAGTCTCCTCCTCTGAGCTTTTCGCGGTCCCACTATATAAACTAATAGCCCGGTATAGCACGAATGTCAGTTAACATATTATTGGCGAAGAGATCGGTCGCAATTGCAAGATAAGTGAAGTTTTTGAGATAAAACGTGATCATAAAGTGAGTTATAAAAAAAAATACAGAAAAGGAATAAAAGAAATCTAGATGCTGGAAAGATGTTACTGCTGTATATACTACTATTTCTACCTGTATTCGTCGCAACACAGGGATCGCAATCAATGAAGACACTGGACCGAGAGATGATGCGGAACGACTCTACAGACTCTTTAGACTGGATTGGTGAAAGCTTTTTGAACATCGTTGATACATTTTCTCCAGTTTCAAAATCGTGTGGTAATATAGAAGGTATTGACAATAATAATTATTTGTGGCTAAATATAAATAATTCTATCCATTTTTTAATCTTGCATATTTAATGTTTGATAAAAAAAGAAGTTCAAATTTTGTTTTATTTCTCTTATTAGAATCTCTTATTAGAAAGTGTATAGAGAAGAAACAATTAATATAATATAATCAAATAAAGAGACTTAACAGAAATTATTCTTTTTATATTAATTACTGTTAAATTTTTAATAATTTCTGGATTTTATAACAAAAAAATTTTTATCCGTTTTTATAAAATTTAAATATTTTGATATATCATATAATTTTATATTATATATATGCATAAAAATATGCTAAATTAATATACACAATATATGATGGGCGTATTAATACGGACGGAATACGTGATCATTACATTGAGAAAAAAATATTATACCTTTACAACTATTAAATTAATATTATTATAAACTACTAAATTTATAATTGCATTTTAATTTTATCAATGTCAAATAGAAAAGATCAAATTATTACAAAATGTATGGCTATTTATAACAATATTTTTATGCAGTTTAGCATTAAACTTTAGCGAAAGTGTCAATTGTGGTATATAAGTGTCAACTTTGATATATATTGTCAAATATTTTTTCTCAATAACAATCATAAGTTTGTTAATAACAAATTGTAATATATTTGGATAAGGAATTACAGGGACATGAGATAGCAAATCTAGTGTGGTATTTCAAGTTTAGTAATCAAAGATTTGAATAATTTGCTGTAAATGGAATTATGAGACCGCGTATTAATCAGACGTTGCTAAAGAAGCGTGTAATTGCACATATTGCTCATTATATTATGATACTTTTGGGTTTACGGGTTTGCGGAGTCCCGCGATACAAAAACATAAGTGCTTTCTACTCTAGTTCATTTTTATTAACTTCCGTGACGATCTTAATAAGGAAGATATACTTCAATGTGTGTGTGAAGGAATGCACATCCTGTTTCCGAAGGAGCAAAATACTTTTAATATAATATAAACTTTTAAGTCATAACATATGTAGTGTTTAGTAGAACGTTGCGGGCAATGTAGTATAGGCTATATCAAGTAGCAATATAAACGTTAAATGATTAATTGTTACATTTATTTTTTATGAATCATGTTTTACATAAAATACAAAAGAGATTAGTAAATTAAAAGCAAGTAACACGATTATATATTTCTTATTATATTTATTTGTATTTATTATAGTATCTTTTTTTTTATTAATTGCAGGGCGTAAAGATAAGAAATTCAAGAAACTGAATAAGTATGTTCTGCCTTTGCTTATTGGGTTTTTGTTGATAAAATCTATTCTATTGCCCATCACGTTAAAGGCATTGGCAGTTCTAAGTGGGAAAGCTGTTGTGCTAAGTTTGATGAGCTTAATTCTGGCAGCTATAGTTGGATTAAAAAAGGTTGCCCAGAAGGAGAGCAGCTACGAATCAATCAACAAGTACAGACGACAGGATATATACGGTTTCGTTGACGACGTGCAAGAATTCGAACCTTATCGATTTTACAAAGAACGACGTAGAAAGAAGTGAAAAGAATTATTAACGGACGATAGAATTCTTTGTTGGTTCTTCGATTATTTTTATTCTTATAGTAATATTTGTCGTAGAAAAATATTAGTTTTACTTTAATTTTAAACAATTCTGAAAAGATCGACGTTATACAATATATAAAATTAAGAATAAAATGTATTTATTTATAGTCTATTAATTAATTAATTTTCTATCAATTTTATTTACTTATAATATTTATTTCAGCGTCTGGCTATGATAAGATTACATTAAGATCAAACATTGTAAATATAATAAAAAGTAGCATAATCAATGTACGAACCAATGTCGTATATATGTAGTGTTGTAAAAGTTATTTGTATTAACATCAATGAAGAGCTTTACAATGGAGATGCATTAACTGCTAGCGTTAATTATGTTAAATGGAATAATTGAATGTTGATACATTGGCGAAAGTTGTTAAAAACTATAATTACAATCTATTTATAATTAGTTTAGTACAGTAATTCGACGACAGTTTTCAATATCGCTAACAAAATCCTTTTTAAAGATGAGTAATCACAATGTATATTAACACATTTCACTAGCGTGATGTAAGAAGGAGAGAAAGTTTCATGATTCCGTGAGGAACTAGTTTGTAGATAGTATATACATTTCTCTTTTGTATTCCATTTCTCTGTCGAAGTTAAATTATTCAGTTATGTAAATAAATATGTTTTCAACAAAATTTTTTAAGTTATTATTACAATATGCTTATATTATATAATTCTGTGTAATGAAAATATAAATTTTACTATTAATTATTAAGAGAAAATAAAATATTGTAATTACTAAAAAAAAAGAATATCTATTAAACATGAGATTTTTAAATGATCAAAAATAGGAAATTATTAACATTATTAATTGTATAATAAATGATTGATTTTCTCAACCGCTTTTTCGGCAGTTGAGAAAATCTTCTAGAGAAGGAGTGGTCACATCATATTATTCACGTGAAGAATAAGGGGAAAAAAAAGAAAATAAGATAGGAACTGACCTCAATATAAGTCATTGCTCTTTGATTCTCTAAATCTTCTACATTCCTATGTAGTTAGAAATATTTTAAAGAACTTTTATGCTTCATCGTAGTTATATCATTTTATGATATAAATGAAATAAAAAATTCTGCATAGGCATATGTCAAATGCATGTAGGTATTCACAATCATTTGTGTTAGATATCACCGATAGATGCATCAGTTAACAATGTATTTATATTGTACAAATAAACAAATTAGTTATTAGGACTCTTTGTTTTAAAAAAAAAAATGTATTTTTAAAATATCGGTGACTTCGTTATAGGTAAAAATTGTCATACAAATTCCTCTGAAGTATATGCAGAAGAAAGTAACTAATGGTGATCATAACCCAGAAAATTAATCTCAAAATTGTCTTCGTTTCTTCCTTCGGATACCGTTAAACGAAGATGACAAAGCTCCTTCCATATCTGACGTTAAATACTTAAACAGATTCGTATGGAGTACAATGGAATACCTCTTGTGAATAAATTATCTGTTACCTTTCCAAGTGGTTGCCTAAAGCAACGTTGATGATGTCTTCATTATTGTTTTAGTATATTACATTAATTTCTCTCACGCATAATCCGGGGGGGGGTCTATATATTTTTTTTAAAAATAGAATTAATATATAAAATCAATTGATAATGTCAAAATTCTATTTAAAGAATATGTAATTTAAAAGAATATGTAGTTAAAAAGATATGTGCGATTTCTTATAAATTCATTATTTTCTTTTCCAGAAAAGGAATATTGTGTATGTCTCTTGCGTAATAATTTTGCAAATGTGATAATTCCTTCTTTTATCTTGGACACTTTTAACGTTCTTGAGAAATAGAATTTTTAATACACAATGATAGAAATTCTTGTAGACTCGAGCTAAATAATTGTGATGAAAATGAAAAACAAAACGAACTTATAATAATAGTTTATTATATACATGCATGTATTACTTATAAAGATGTAGATTTGTTTAAATATAAGACATTAATCACATATTTTCGTCTTATTTACAATAATTATATTTTATAATACTAAATAACAACATAATAAAATAATCAGATGGACACAAAAACATTAAAAAAGAAGTAAAAAATTTTATTAATTTAAGTTATATCAGAACCTTAAACTTATATCAGAGATGTAATCTATTCTCGTATTACCAATGAACTCATGGCTGGGTCAAGGTGAGCAGCCTGATGTACGTGGTTATAGAAGAGAATGCATCGGTCCATTTCACAAAGAAAATTATGATGTTTAAATTCCTCAAAAAAGATATTTAAAGCTAAACTAGCACGTTACAAAATCATTAATAAATAGATATAATAAATTATTTAAAAAAATTTTGTTTATATTTCACATTCGTTTTATTTTTAATTTTAGTTAATATAATTTAAAATTATATATTCTGCAATATGAATAAGATTGTTTTATTCACAATTCGGAAAATTACTACTAAGAATTGTCCACATTTAGCGTCACCTAAATGCACACTCACACGCTACTCATAAGAAAAGTGTATATCCGCGACCGCGAAGCATGTGCAATCGTGAATGGCGGCGAGGTGCGAAATGCACGTTTGTCACCACCGTCGGTTTTCTAAACAATTTGTTGTAAGTGAAGAATAAATAGAAAGTGGCATATGTCAAAATGTTATTAATCTTACAGACGAAAAGAGAGGAAGCAGTATTTTAAGAAGTAAATGTATCAATGTACCTTTTTAAGACTAAATTATAAAATATGTCTTTTATACATATCTACACATAAATATATATATATATATATTTAGAACAATGAATCAAAAGTGTCACTAGAAATATTAAGAATTTTTTTTATTAGATATAATGACGAAAAATTCTATTTTTCAAAGATCCTTCCCTTACACAGAAATAATCCCTGAATTTATAACGAATGTTATCTCTCCTACTAACCCAAATTCTGAGTGGTTACTGTGGTAAACGTAAACTTATTTCGATGACGTTAGGGAGAGCGACTTCTAGGTCCGCCCAAGCGGTGACATCTTTCCATGCAGTCATTCGTTTGTTTAAAAATTACCGAAGAAAGTTTTCTGGGGAAGTGGCCGACGGCATCTATCTGCAATAATGAGTCGTTCGTCTCATCGTTTCTTGTCGTCATACACGTCGTCGTTTCATCCAGAGTGGGGATACCGAGGAGGGTCCTACATGGTGCACACCTATAAAGATTCAAGCGCCGCAGGGCCAAGTCACACTTTGTTCCGAAAATTTTCCGGGGAGCAGTTTGTTCCGTCTCCGACCACTGTATCTCTGTATTCCTTTCCGCGACGACGTGACGAGTGATTAGACGACGAGAAGATGAACAAATTTCTGACGCTAATACTTCTTGCTGCATATACTGCAGCAGGACCTACAGACGTACAGCCATCTCAGAATCTGAATTGTGTGGAGCACGACAATGCGTTCTTCAGCTGTATGTTCGTGAAGACTATCAGTGCTCTTAACAGAGCGACTCGATCGAGCAACATCGAAATCATCGATGGTGTGACTTTCGTACGAGATACCCCGAGTAAGTTCTTGTATTTATTACATATATAGTATATCATTCTTTAAAAAAATTTAATTATATCAATGCATACCCTAACAAGACCTCCAGGGAACATCCTGAGGACGTCAAAAGGATGTCCGTATGTTCTTTAAACATCTTAAGGGCATCCTCAGGATGTATCCCGAATAAAATGTTGAATAAAGTTATTAGAGTAATATTAACTTTAAATGATATTACATGGAAAAAAACGGCTATAGTTGTCATGACCAAAAGACAGACGCCCACCAATACATTTTTAGTTACAAGAACTACAGTACTGATAGATTGTGATAACCGTAAGATTAACATATCTTAACAGTTATAGCTGTTAAGATATGTCCATCTTACGTTTATTACAATCTATCAGTACTGTAGTTCTTGTATTGATGGGCGAAAATTATCATTATTTCCGATTGTGACAACTGTAGCGTTATTTATACACTATAAGATATAACAAATATTATATATTATTGTGAATTAATATAATACAAATTATAAAAATTGAAGAATATGTTGCAATTTTAAAAAAATTACCTACATCTGCTTCTAAACACACTCGATGAAATTATATCATTGTAATATTTTGAAAGAGATAATAATTATGATAACAATTGATAAACATTTTTCTTAAAAACATTGTTATAGTGGAGCGCCTTAGCAGGAATTTAGAAATGAACGAAAAGGAAATCATGAATGAACTACCACGCGAGATCACCGATAGAATGATAAAACTTTCCATTATGCTGTACGATTCCGTTGTCTCTTTTATGAAGAGCCATAGTTTGAAATTGGACATGCCCGAAGGTTCAGTTTCTCGCGCCCTGACTGAAGGTAAGTCTTATTCCTTTTGTCTTCACTAAGTACTCACTAAGTATCTCAGTTACGTAATCGTTCACCTTTCCTTGATTATGTCTATTCGATTAATGTTACGGATTCGCGACGTCATGAGTATAAACGAATAAGCATCTCAACATGCCTTTCACCTCCGTGATATCTATATGTACGATGCTGACGTCTGAACCTGTTCCGGGTAAACTCGTTCTTCAAGAAAAAATGTTTCGCTTTCCTTCTCAAATGTATTTTAAAATATTTGAATAAATCATAATCGTATTATTAAAAATAAAATATAACATATTCCCATTAATCACACTTTTATTAATTACTTAATCTTTACATCTTCCAAACATATATCGACAATTAGTATTATTAGTATTATAGTTTGAAAGGCATAAAATTATTAATTTAAATAATTTTATATAATATATCAAAAGATTCTGACAAGTTAACATTAAGCTTAATATTAAGTTTAAAATTAAATTTATATCGATATTTCTACATTTTTAACATTTTTATATTGTTGATGTATTTTTTTATATCGATTTCATAATCTCATAATCTAAAATCAATTATGTTAATTAATTTTTTTATAATTAGGACGTGCCAAGATCAAGAAACTAGTTCTGCCATTGATTGCTGCAGCAGGTCTCAAGGTCTTCGCACTTGCACCACTCTTGCTTTTTGGCTTAGGTCTGTTAACTGTGAAAGCTTTAATCTTCGGTAAACTCGCCTTACTTGCTGCCGGCTACATGATATTCCAGAAGCTTTTTAGTGGTAGCAATGTGGGTGGTTTCTTTAATAAAAATCAAGTGCCTATTTTGTATGACCACGGCTCCTCTGGAGGTTGGGCCGTTGGAAGTGGGTCCCAGCAACAAGGATACTATAGAAACTTCGATGCTAACGCCCAAAATTTGGCGTATTCTGCTCATGCACCGACTGACATACCGATTGAACTTCAAAAATATTGAGACATTTTTATTATATCTGCCATGGAGAAACTTAAAAGCCATATCCCACGGAGCCAAAAAACCTCCTCGAGGCCATTGGACCCACCTACAATTAGATTATAATATTTATATATACATCGTATGTAATTTATTAATTTAATAAATTATTGGTTAATTGTATGTATTAAGCAATTAAATTATTTGTATTTAATAAATTATTTATTATCCCAGAAAAATATTTGTAAAAAATTCTTTGTTTCCGCTTTTGTGAAATTAAATTAGAATAAAATTTCTAATTTGAAGAAATTATTGTTACAATAAGATTCGATGTAACATAGTGCATAGAAAACCTCGTACGTGATTAGTTTCTGCTAAGACGAAATATTGACAGCTTTCGGCGTGCAATTGTAGCCGGTTGAGCTCATGTCCGATTCCAATCGTATATGAGCATTCCTACAGGTCATTTACACTCCCACTTCTTTTCTTCGGTCTTTCTTTCGCCTTGGCTGCCACTTCTGTCACTCGTTCCATTTCTCTTGTTCAAGCGGCTTCCGACTGCATGATTTGGGACACAAGTTTTACATACCATGCCGTGTCACCAAGAGACACGGAAATCTAATTTTCACCAAACTGTGTGTACGAAGGCGTTGATGATGTACGCTGATCGTAAACGTAGAAGATGATAATTGAGCCAGCCTTACGGACTATTGTATGTATATGTGATGCAAATAAACCGTAGATATATGCAAATTAATTAGAAATTTCTTAATTGAAACAGATTTCTTTTTTACAATAAATTTATCCAAAAAAACGTAATATATATTAAAAAAGAAGAATATCTAAGCAATAAAATGCAATATTTTTGAAATTTAATTTAATTTTATTACAGAAAATTTTAATTATTACTTTTATATATGAAACTTAATAATTATTTATAATTATTTTTTATTCAAAAAGACTTTTTAACCTGAGAGAGAGAGAAAAGCTTAAGAAATTTCCTAGGTTAGATAGTAAAATTCTGAAAGTAAAAGGGAAATTTGCTTGAGTCGACGTATTCTTCGTCACGCGATTCTTGTGCATTGCATGTTCAAGTTAGCTCTTCAGAGAGTCGGCAGAATTAAAATTCTTGACACTACTGCCCTTGCACGTTGCTTGCCAAATGGTTCAATATCCCACCACTAGTCGATTGTGGTTCATATAAAAGAAAAATGTCTCTGGGGGCAAACAGTCAAAAACGCTTCTTCGGAGTCACGCTTTATAGCACTTCGTAACTATGAAGACCAAAGTAATTATCCTCTTAGCGTTGCAATTGCTGACGTTGGTGATAGCCGGTTCAAGCCAGGAAGATGGAAATAGTTTGGAGCATCTAGAAGGGAAGCTCATTAGAGCGATGGACGATATCAACAGAAAGGACATTATTGACGTTTACGGCGATATAATAACCCTGGAAAAGGTTGCGGAGGATGGTGAACTATCAGAAAAGAGCGCGGATCCGCTCGTAAGCAGGATCGAAAAATTCCTGAAAAGTCGAAAAATTCAAATTAATCTTCCTAATGACGCTTCAACTGCTGGTTTGTTTGCACGCGCTCTCGGTCAAAGAAACATCGATATAGAGCTTAAAAGCTTGGCACGTGGAACATCCGAAGGTAAACGATGTATTACAAAAAATTATTATAAATTGAATTTTTTAAACGGAACTGATTGTTTTGTATTTAATAGAACAATGCTATCAAATTTGTAAATTAGAGGTAACTGGAGCGTTTACCCTTTCAAATTTTTGTGAATTTACATAACGAGATTGTAATTAGAATAATTTGAGAAAATTTGCTAGTAATGGCAAGGCTATTTGAAATACTTTTCTTTAAATTCTATAAATTCTAGAAAGATTACATTTTTTAAAAATAGTTTCAATAAATTAAAAAAGCAATCATTTTTTTAAATATAAAAATATTTATAGGGGGGTATTACAATCTTCACTATAACATATTATAATAAATATCTCTCTCTCTCGTAGTGGTTATTATGTTTCTATGATTTAAAAATATTTCAAAATTTTCGCAAATATTTTTGACTAAGTACTCGCAAACTAGTATTAATTCATTAAGTTATGAGATTAAATCTATAATAATCTTACTTAATATTACACGAACGCTGCATTTTTATAGATCAACGTAATATATAACATAAATTCTCTTTAATATTTATATAAATTATTTGATAAATACGTTTAATATATTTTTTATATCTATAAATTAATTTGTAGGTCGATCTTACTCTTCATCTTTTTATACGTGCATATTAAATTTGTACTTTTCTTCCACAAGAATTTTTACAATTAAGTTTTTAATAACATTTTTAAAACTAAGTTCCGATAGTAACATTATTGTTCAAAGTTCTTGTCAGAACCTCGTGAGACTTGTGTTAGATACTTGGATCTAACAAAAGTTTCTTGTTCTTCTTCTCTTACGTTCCGATCTGATATGAATACATCATTCAATGGGCGCAAACTTATAGTGCCTCACCTTTCTAAAGCCCTACCAATGGGATTTAAGTAGCTCATGAATCTCAGGATTCATTGGCTGAAAAGTGTAACTTGATCTTTCTTTTCAATTCGATCGTGGCCGAAATACCATTCACGCATCCTCCATGTATCTCTTTCTAGCGCTTATGTAGTTTACCGTTTTTCTCATATTTATAAAAATTTCCTCAAAATTTTTTACTCATATATTTATAAAAAATTTTTTTCTTGCAAAAATACTGGAAAATTTGAGTAAGCATAGTAAATATTTATTAATAACTATTGAGAGAGGGATGTAAGAGCGACTGAAATGGAAGATCTTCGTACATAGAAAGCTACAGCAACGCGTTCCACTTCTACCATATTCGCGAAAACAAATGCTGGAGGTGGGAGTGGACCAAAGTGGGTTACCGTTTGGTAGATCTGGTGGGATTCCGGGTTTCTGGGACGGCTACCGCGAGACGTCTAAGAAGGACCTTGAACGAGAGTGTCGCGCGTTCGAAGAAAGTAGACTGGATGATAAACGTCCGTCATAGACTTTTAGAAATCTTCATTCACATACATCCGCATAATATTCTACGATTATTGATATCATGTTTTTGTATTAATTGTGCTCTGTGCACTTTTATGTATAATACAAATTTTATAAATAATTTGGTATTACAAACTTTACATGTACAATTATATATGTATACTATATATATATTATATATATAATATAATATATATATATACTACACATATAATAAGATTCGCATTATAATTCGATATCTGAATAGTATTTTCACATATTTCCTTTTGTTAAGCACTAATATACATACATACATCAATTAAATATTTCAAGGAATGTTGTTACTTACAAGATAATTGTATATGTTGTTTACAGCACGCACGAAATTGAAGAGGATGATTATGCCACTTTTGATTCTGCTGAAACTAAAAGCAATAATCGTTCTACCTATCGTAATTAGCATGATCGCACTGATAGGTTTGAAGGGCTTAGGCGCAGGTCTTATGTCACTCTTGATTTCTGGCGCAGTAGCTTTGAAGGCCCTTGTTACACCACCTCCGCCAGCAAGAGTCTCCTACGGAATTGTAAGGCCGCACGAAATTCATCATGATCACTGGCACAGGTCGGAAGAAGAGGTCAATCAACCTTACAGAGGCTGGACACCGGAATACAATGGCGAACATTATCCATATCATGACATTCCATAAAATGCAATGTTTTCTTCGTCATCATATCCATTTATTTATTTATTTATTTATTGTGTAGCAGCATAAATGTATGCTCGCTTTATAAAATAAAATAAATCATCTTTTTATAAAATGTTGTCTTGATCATTGTGAAATATCGGAAATTATTGGATACTTCGTGACATCGACGTACTATCAGAAACGTCATATCATTGCGACATTGGTAAATTGCCAAGCTCAGATATGTCATATCTTATTAAGACTCGACCTAAATACACATGTGTTATCCTGAAGACATTAATAATAAGGATTATTTGCGGCAAGGATTTTACAATTTGTAAATAAATAAATATCGAAAAAGAGAGCTATACACACACACACACACACACACACACACACACACATAAATTTATAGCCGTAAGCAGGTTACTCTGTCGGTCAGACGAGAAGGCTAATGACCTAGATGGAGGTTCATGGACGGAGAGAAGATAGAATGATGTTGCGAGGGTGGGAGAAGCGGAGAAAGACCGGATCAAGGTGGGGAACTAGGAAGAGGAAGGAAATGAGGTTACTGTGTCGGGAGCAAGGTAGGAAAGCGGATTGTTGCTGTGATTGGTCTAACGAATTCCCCCTCAATGCTTCACACGTATCAAGGTCAGTGTGTCAATGCCTCCACGTGGTTCTCCACTTCTACCAGTAGATATCACCGTGGTCTTCGTGGTAGGGACTGAAATAACGGCATCGGTTGTGATTAGTCGAGTCGCTCGAGAGGAGTGGAAGAGTGAATACGGGTATATATAGGCTGTTTGAGAGGCCAGCACCATCGAGAAGTAGCGAAGATGGAGAACGCAAGCTCTGATTGACCGATACTTATGCATTCTTTCTTTAATAATATACTTATAAAATCGCAGACACTCTGCAAGTAGTGAACACATTTTTTATGTACAATTTTATATTCAAATTTTATTTTAATAAAATATTACCTACAATTTTACTATTCAATTTGTTTAAATTATTCATTTATATTATCAAACAACTACTTTCAACGACTTTCTTTATTACGGTAATAAGTAATAGTAATTGAAACATGCAAAAGAATATAAGAAAAATTCTATAAAATTTAATATATAATAATAGAATTAATTAATAAATTTGAGAATATTGTTGTGTAAACCTTTCTTGTAGGATAATATAAATATTTTATATAAACTACGAGTTGTCAAATTGCAAATGTAGAGTTGTATAAAAAAATTTCTTTGTTTTTAAATTTTTTAAATGATTTTCCATAAAAATATAGTTTCACATATGTAAAATGAGAATAGAATAAAAATAAATAAATTTCTCAATAACGAAATATACTTTTAAAAATAAAATTTGTGATATTTCAATGTTATTCTCTTTCATATTATATTATTT